CATCTACGAAGCCTTATGTAGGAACGAAGTACCTGTGGTAGCGTTTTATATTTTGTTTACATTTAAACAAGTGTTTTGGTAAATATTTAACACAATATAAACTATATTGAAATTTGGAAATAGAAAGTATGTGCTATCAAATAGCCATTCATTTCCAACTAGCCTAATGAAGAGATGAATTCAAAGAGATAGTTAAGCTGATATAGTTTTATTCGGAAAATCGATGTTAATTGCTATATGCGATAAGAAAACAAAAAAATTGTCCAGAGGATAAAAATTTTTACAAAGAGTGAATGATTTTATCTTTTTGACACTTTCCTGTAGCATGAGTTTCGGCAAATATTTGTAAGCCTTTTATTCTTGCATTGATATTTTTAGGAAGAAAAAAGATGAATTCTTGTTGGATTTTGAAATTCTCCAATTTTTATTTGAGAAAATTTTCGAATCCATTTGCACTTCTTTGTTCACTCCTATTTTTCACTTTTATTTTTTTCAATTGGAGCATAAAAATTTTCAGAGCATTAAAGCAACGTCAAAATTATACTGTTATTACAAAATGGACCGTCCATTCTTGCGTTTAGCTCCTTTCAAAGTTGAAATTTTGAGATTCAATCCGCTTGTGGTTTTGTTTCGTGATGTTATGTCAGACGAAGAAGTAACAATGATTCAAATGTTGGCGACACCAAGGGTATCCGTTATTTTAATTTTTTCTTTCTATTCTTTATTGTTATTTAAAAAAAAAAAAAAAAAAAACCTCTTATTCCTTATAAATTAGTTTTGGGAATGTTAAGAATCAAAATTCATTACCGAGTTCATCTTCTCTAATTTTATACTATCTGCTTCCATATCTTTAATCATTTTTGTTATTTTTACAGTTGCGAAGAGCGACTGTGCAAAATTCGGTAACTGGTGAACTTGAAACAGCATCATACCGAACAAGTAAAAGGTTATTTGCAAACTCAATTATATTAATGATTTGTGAAAGCTTCAAGAAGATGTGGCAATCAGTTCAAACAAGTGGACACTTTTTAGTAACCATTTTTAGACGTTCAAAATTATGATATATCATATTTCAATGGTGTCGTTATGATGTAAATGTTAGAAGAACGCAAAATTTCATGAAATGATTTAGATTTTTTTCGCGTTATTTTCATTGCTTGGGAAATATGAGAAGCAAAGCGAATGATTTATTTGTTTATAGTGCATGGTTAAAAGATGAAGAGCACGAAATTGTTCATCGAATCAATAGACGAATTGATTTGATGACTAATTTGGAGCAAGAGACTGCGGAAGAACTACAAGTTTGTTACTTTGTTTAGAATGTAAACTTTGAAGTTAAATTATTAATATTTCATGTTTTTATTATACATACTTTTCTGCTAAGCTAATTTATGATTTAATTCATATTTTTATATATGAAGTTCGTTTTTTTTTATTGCTGCAAGATCAAACTTTGCAGTAATGTTTTAAGATTAATTAATTCTATGATTTCATAGTCACAGTGTCTTTTTTATACAGTTATTTCTACCGTTTCTTATTTTTCATAATGAAACAAATGTCAGGTTGGAAATTATGGTATTGGTGGTCATTACGATCCACATTTTGACTTTGCAAGGGTAAGTTTTGTGTTTTGATTAATTAAAAACTTATCTAAATTTTTTTAATACCAATTTATTATTTTTTTGATTATCGTGTTGAACATTTTTATTATGCTGAAATAATTGCCAAATTCATTCAGAGAGAGGAGGTGAACGCTTTTGAATCACTTAATACAGGAAATCGGTTGGCAACATTGTTATTTTATGTGAGTATTCAATTCATATTACGTAAAATAGGCCAAAAAAGGGAATGTATGCTCGCCAATTTCTGTGAAGCTTTTTCTACTTTCGAGAAATTCAAGTCTTTAAGTTTTTTTTTGTTTTAACTTTGACGATTAAAAATTTTTTCGAACTTTAAGTCTTTTGAACATCATTTTTCCTCCAAATTTTCAGTTTGCTTCTCGCTTAATTTTCTTGGGTCCTTGATTTTATTCAGCTTATAACCATTGCTGAAAAGCTTATTTCTTAAATGGAAGATTTTTAAAAGAGAAGAAAATCTACAGATGACGCAGCCTGAATCAGGAGGTGCCACCGTATTTACGGACGTCAAAACAACAGTTATGCCTTCCAAAGTCAGTTATCTATACGTGATTTGATCAATATTGCAATTTGAACTTCTGCTGTTTCGGTTGGGAATGATGATCAAATTGGAAAATCGAAGATTAATATTCGATTTGAACTTTTAATGAAAAGAATTTTTCAAGTGCCAACTGCTGAATTTAAAGTTTTCCCAATTTTTAGACTATTTAAATCAAATTTCAATATGAAATTTAGAAGTGAATTTTCGAATTAAAAAAATTTTTCTTTTTCTAGAACGATGCTCTATTTTGGTATAATTTATTGCGCAGTGGTGCGGGTGATTTGAGAACACGTCATGCTGCATGTCCAGTACTAATTGGTACTAAATGGGTGTCAAATAAATGGATACATGAACGTGGACAAGAATTTCGAAGACCTTGCGGCTTAGAACGATCAGTGGAAGAACAGTTTGTCGGTGATCTAGGTGCCTAAATAACACCACAAATTTTCTTTGCAGTGCATTGAAAAAGTCATCTAGGAATATTCCTATTCTACCAGTTTAATGAAAGGTCAAATTTTTGATGCATTATATTTTCAAAATCACAATATAATTGCTGTACGAGTTACATTGACTTCACATTACTCAAAAAATTGTATTTACTAATGAAATTGATTCATGTACATATAGCGCCTTAAAATGTAAATTATATGCTTTGAAGTCTTCCCATTCACTCGACATTATTTCGATGTAATTCACTGCCATAACTAAAAAAATAATTTAAATTATTTTGTTACTTGCATATTTTGCTCAAAAAAATGAAACATTTTCCTCGAATAAGGCAGTATAACCTGTTGTTCGTTCTTTCTCTCTTTTTCTTTCATTTGTGATCTTTCTATTGCGAGAATGATGATAGGTCAAATCTGTCTTCAATGAATTTTTAGAAAAAATGAAATAAATATAAGCATATTTTCTTAGTTCCTTACAGTTCACTCTTTTAATAGATTTCACAGAATTGTAAAGATTTCCTGCAGATTTGTTGTATGACTGTCTACTTTTTATCCATTCACATTTTTCATCCCGTGTTATGTGTGTCAAATAAATTCAACACATAAAAAGAAATTTGATTTATTTCTTTTCATACAAAAAGCCTATGCATTGTAGTGCAGAAAATGTAAACTTTTTTAATGTTGTATTTTTGTATGAGCCTTTATGTTATTGCCTTATTAATTTATCAAAATACCATTTCTTACATGATTTAAATCATTTCTGCATTTGCTTGATAAACCAGTTTTTCTTTTACAACCAATACTTTGATATATTTCCATGTTTTTTTCACTGAAAACTCACTTTAAAAAATTTTTCAAAAGACACTTCTAAAAATTGACGGAATTTAAGTATTAAATATCTTTAAAGAGATGAGAAAAGAATGTGTATCTTATGTTTACTTAATTTATATTGAATTCTTTGTCGAACAACGAACGAACTTTTCCAACTTCAATAGACTTCCCAGTTTCAGAAATATGCTTTAATAAGGAATTTAAAATATTTTTTTAAATGAACATTTGATTAGTTTACATTCTCATGCTTTATATCTCTTCTAATCTCTTTTTACTTTACATTATCAAATAATTTCAAGAGTTCAACAAACTTAGCCGGATCATCCGGAATGGCATCGAAACTTCCCGCATTAAGATAAAACTATTTATAAGAGTGAAAAGATACCATTTTTTTTTGAATGAATTCCTACAATACTGCATATAATAATTGCTCCTCTAATATTTTTACGTGTTTCTTATCCCGACTTTCTTGAAGCTACCCGAAAATATATGAAATTTAAGCATTTAATCTATGGCGGAATTACCGTATGTAACAGTTGAGGTAGGGAAATGTTCTAAAAGTAGTTATGATTTCCTATAAAGGATAAAACAACAAAAGTAAACCTTCCTCTCATTCAAACTTCTCATGTGAACTTTCTTCATTTTCAATAAATTCATCCAACAAACTTTACATGCAAATGTTCCAAGTGAAAAATCAATATTTTGGAGGTCGTTATTAAAGTTCACACTACTAAGTTATAACATCTATCAGTAGTGTACAGTCTTTTATTCTTATTATCTATTAGGCTAAATTTGCATAAAGTTAATACAGGTTATTCAAAATTCGCTTAATGTCAAATTGAATTTGCTCGTAAGAGAGAAAAGTAAGAGATAAGATTGAAAATGTCTATGAAAAGAAGGAATGATTTGAAAAATAGTTATATATTAAGAAGACTACGTTCATAACACCATACGTTTAGTAACTTTCATATAGCAATAAAAAACCATTGACCTGAACGAAATGCGAAAAGAATGTTTGTTGTTGACGTTTGAAAAATTAACTGGATGATATGTTGATTAAGTTGTTTCTAACTAAACCCTGCCACTAATTTGTAATTAGTACGTTCAAATAAAATCAAAGCTTATACTTGGTTTGTTGGCTGTTATGGCAAAGTATCCAGTTTATCAAAATCGAACACATAGTGACATATGAACATTCCATCTAAGCCTATAGTGTGATAAGTAACAGTGAAGTTATCCTGCATTGTCTTCCTGAGAATTATATCATAAACGTCATAAAAGCGCATTACTTGTTGAAAGACTACGATTACCACTCACGTCAACATAGAAAGATTTAACATCATACACATGCGAACTGCGTTAAATGATGATTCTGGCAACGTGTCATGGAATTGTTCATTTTGCTTCTGATAGGATAGGGCTGGGTGTTTCGTGGTGGGGTACGGGGTAGATTATTGAGGTATCGAGAGATGGGGGATGGGATGTCATGGATAGGGGATGTTGTGAGTATTATGAATAAATGTGTGGTAAATTAAGGGTGTTGTCATGTTGATCAGTTTGTTGTTGACTGTTTACTGTTTGGCGGAATCGGTTGCTTACTTCATACACATTGATGCAAACGAGGAGCAGTGCTTCTTCGATCGAGTAATAGCTGGCACCAAGATGGGTGTAATATTTGAAGTTGCTGAAGGTGGATTTCTGGACATCGACGTGAAGGTTCCTTTACAAATTTTCGGTTGCTTGCAGAATTCACTGAAGTAACTTATCAGTTGCCTTTTTTATTGAATAAATGGGGCTACAGAAATTCTCTCGGATCGGTAAATGATATAGGATTTCTAATTCTAAAGGCATTGCATCAAATCTTTTCATGGATGAAGATATTAAGGAATGGTTTTTTTAATGAATTTTAAGCATGGTTCAGCTTTTAGATTATTGGCCCCGACAATAAAGAAATCTACAGAGGAGAACGAGAAAGTTCGGGTAAGTACACTTTTGCTGCACATATGGATGGACCATATACATATTGTTTTGGAAATCAGATGTCAACAATGACTCCAAAAGTGGTCATGTTCTCAGTGGAAATTGCACAACTTGGACAACCGATACCATCTGAAGCAGGAAAAGGCAGCAGTAATGATTCCTCAGGTAGAATATTGTTTTCTCTTATTCTGATTTTATTTTCTTTCACGGTCGATGAGTGCATTTGGGTTTAGGTATTATCCGAAAAAGTAGACATTTGAACTTTGTCCTTTATCTCTTTATATATTACGCAGAGAATAGTTTTCAGCGGATAGTCTTAAATTAGAAGAAATGGTACGAGAACTATCTTCCGCATTGACATCTGTCAAGCATGAACAAGAATACATGGAGGTTCGAGAGCGTGTACATAGGTCAAGTAAGTCTTTTGAAAATTTCCATCATTCAGCCTATTCAGGTTTTCTATCATTATATTTTGTATCCTACTGTATAAGGAATGGGAACTCACTAGCATATGAAACTTCAATCGACTTTGGTACGAGATGTGGTGTTGAAAGAATGACTTTACTTTTTCTAGATTATATCCTTTCTTGCAGTAGATGAAGTGAGAGAAGCCAGATGTGAGAATAAGGTTTTATATGAGATGAGAATAATCATTCCTTGTAATTTAATCTAGGGAATTCTCCTCCAGAGCATTTTTTTATCCTTATTCTTCTGTGATTGCTAATGTTACCTTGGTGGTTATAGAACGTAGGCGAGATTTTATTTCTGCATCTTAAATTCAAGTTTTGAGATAATTTAAACAGTATTTCATCAGTTATCAGATGTGCTTAATTATCACTACTTTCCTATAGCTTGGAAGATGCTGGGTCTTTATGACTTGCTTGAACGAGATTTGTTTTACAGTAAATGAGAACACAAATTCAAGAGTGGTTTTGTGGGCCGTCTTCGAAGCTGTGGTACTTGCCTCAATGACCATTGGACAAATATTCTACCTAAAACGATTTTTCGAAGTTCGTCGAGTTGTATGAAATTGAACACTCTTCTACTAGCAAATTATCCATGAGTATTTTATTTCATTCTCGGACAATCCATATGAAGAGATGAGGTCATCCCGGACAATCCACATGAAAAGATGAGGTTATCCCCGGACAATCCATATGAAAAGATGAGGTTTTCTATCTACGCTTAATGATATTGCCATTACGATAAAAGCTCTAGGCATCACATGACATAGTGTAGATTTCTTTTTCCATCGTGAATTTGAAAGTTGTTCAAGGCAAAGAGTGAATTAAGCTGCTAATTACTGATAAGGAAGCTGTTTAAGGCTTTTTTCAGTACTTCCCTTTCTTTTTTTGCGCAGAAACTTTTCCTCAAAAACGACATGGAATCATTGAACAGGGAAGAGTAGATTGAGGACATTCATCTAAGTCATTGTTATACTGGTGTAATGGTTAGTATATAATTGTTAACATCGGTCATTCGATTTTTAAGATTTTCTTATCATTTTGTGGTATTATTGTAAATATTTATGTTAATGTGTTAGTTAGATTTTGCTAGGCCATTGTTTTGAATAACATTTGGGCAATAAGGGCAATTTATATTTCACCATTGTTTTTGTTGTACTTCTGATTTAGTAAATTGCTCTGTTGTAAATGATAATGAAATATGTGCAGAATAAGAGTTTTCGGTACAAAATTTCTTTTTTTTGTAAATAAAGGCCGGAAACATGAGATTGATTTGCTGATAAAGTTAGCAGTTATCGAATTTCGCTTTCAAACTCATATGGATTTTTGTCTTCGCAGGTCTTCGGTCTAGATGAAAGCATCGATTATTTATAATATGAATATATGAGAATAGGATTTTTCCTATTTTACTTTTTCTTCAACGCTTTCAATTTGTAGTGAATTTCAGTGAATGTTGGTCTTTCACTGGGTTCCATTTGCTAGCATTGATAAACAAGTTTTGATACAGCTGACGGAGCTGTCTAAAAGTACAAAATTAGCTTGGTCAATTGAATGATTCTATTTAATTCTTCATGAAGTCTACATAACTAAAACGGAGAAATTTTTAGAATTAATAAGTCGCAGTAGTTTTATTAGTTACGGGGAAAATAGTTCGGAAGCAGTTGAAAGTCTTTATACAAAATTGACTTTTAAACACGGTCTTATGCCGTGGAAGGAATGCATCTTTTTTCTCATTTTATAATCTTCAATCAAACTAACCTTTGACACTCCCATTCGGTAATTCTGAACAACAGTCTTGGCTCATGCTTCAATGTTTGACAAGTCTGAATATGGTTCCTTACCATCGGCATAAACTTCCTAGATCTCAGGATGTTCGATAGTTTTAACATGGAGATCGGTAAATTGATACAAATACTATGATAAAGTTTTGAATTCCGGTTTTCCTTGTACCGATGGTAAAAAGTAGCAAATTTAGAAATAGCTGACTAATATGCTGAAAGACCAAACATCAGTCTTGGGTGAAAATATATGTTGCTGCATAGCTTCCAGTGCAAGCCATTTTATTGGAACCTGACATTTGGTTAATATATATCTGATTATGCTTAGTTATATATATTTCATTTTAAACTGTATTATTAGATTAATTGTTGGGATACTTTTTTTAATTTCTCATCATAAATAATTCTTTGCTTATCGGACGTATCAAAATCACTTATTTCCATCCCCAGCTTCTCTAATAACAAACAATTCCGTGCTGCCATATCTCTAAAATTCGAATAGTATAAAATATTTACGGAAGCATCGTTTAAGGCTCGTTTGTTGCCAAATATATACAATGCTATGTGAAGTGTTCGCAGCGGTATACTTTTTGAGGAGAGGGAAGAATTGAGAATTACCTATTAAGGGTAATCGAGTTATTCTATTCTCATTGTAGAATGGGAAATGAAGTTGATCCAGAAACAAAGATCTTAGTGTAATGGTAAGGCGGAAATCAAAGGCAAACCTATGAATGCAATGTTTCTATTCCAAAGATGCAAGGCTAGCGCTAACTTCTGTAGCGAGACGTAATTTTAAATTTGAATTAACAGGGTACATTTTTTCGAAGATAATTGAGCATCGAACCTTCTAAAAATAAATATTTTGAACTGACGTTAGAAGATTTCTAATTTTTAATATTTATATTATCACATTAGAAAATAAATTAGTGCCATTTGGAAAGGATGGATAAATGAAACTTCAAAGTTTGTTTGGGCATAATTCCACGACAATCATCAATGGATTCTCATATAGCATAATACCCACGAATTTTTTTATATTGAGATGTCAGAATTTGTGCATTATTCGAGCTTCCTTTATGCATTTAAACTGTGCCTATCGTGATACCTCTTGTTTTTACCGCTACCTCAGTTACTTTGTTCAGTTACACATATTGCGTTGGATATACCTATAAATCTAGCATTAATTACATTTTGATGTTAAAATGTTGATAGGAAGGAAATTGAAATTATTGTGAAATTGAAAGGGAAAATTTCAGATACAATAGAATATTATTATAATTATAAATAATAAGAGTAATATTATTCGTTTTTCAAAGCATGTTAAATTAAAGGGTTTTTAAATTTCTAATGAAATAAATAACCTTGCCAAAAGCTCCTTTACCTAGCTTCCTTTGCAGTTGAATTTTGTTATGATCCAGAAGCTATGATTGTCGAGTGATACCATTGATAAGATTCGTCATGACCTCTTACTGATACAACATTTCCTGTTCTTTTGTGACAATTAATTAAATCATGCAATGTTTTCTCCTAAATTATTTGCTATTTATTTATATTCTAATGGTTCCTAAAACAATCTATCAAAAAATTAAACTTTCTTTTTCACTCAAATTATCAAATTAAAATTTGAAACTAAATTAAAATCTTTATTTACTCGACTTCAATATTTATATTTTCAAAAATTCATTTTCCAACAAATAATAATCGAAATTTCAAAAAAACAAAAATAAACTTTGTGAGTCCCGAAGTAATAATAATAGCTATTTTCATCTTGATTGATCACAAAATGCAATACCTGTTTATTCCATCTTAGTAATAAAGCTAAAATGATTCAGCCTAAAATTTTACAAATGCTTTGTGTTAATTTCATGAAAATTTGAACAATGCTACAATTTTTACTTCAATTTTTTTCTTAGTTCGCAGTCAATCATATAAATTCAACATAACAATGAAATGCTCAAATCACATACGATTTCACATACTTCCTTGAAGGCGGTAAAATCTGTAAGAAATGACAATTCTTTTAAACAATTAGACAATTTTTATTTAAATTATGTATTTGCAAAAGAAGTTATTATCATCTTTGCCCGTTTTACGAATGACAAAATTATCATTTTCTTTGAGTAACGGATCGATATCAGCATATGGTAGAAGTCTATGATACAAAATTTGTTGAAGTTCAATTATTCAACTTCTTTTCATCACTCACCTTCTCATACCACTCAGATAGAAGATGACAAGGAACAACCAATTTCTATTTCTAATTAATATATAATAAACTGTGAAATAATTTTACATATAAAATAGTAGTTAGGAGCAAAAAAACTGTCATTAACATTATGATTGATTGGAAGAAAAATGTAAAAATTGTAGACAGTAAATATTTCATGCAATATGCATTTACATTGATATTAGGTAAATTTCCACAGTTACATAAACTTTGCATATGCAATATGCACATATGCAATCATTACAAACTATTTATGATACATCTTCCAACTGCGCTTTTCATTTAGTCGTTTGCAAAGCACAGTCGTCATGACCGTCTGTTCAATCTGTTTAGAATGCAAACAAGCGGATGACATGCAAAAGCTGCCTTGTTCACATATGTTCTGCAAAGATTGTTTATCGAAATGTTCAGCGTCACAACTTTGTCCTGTTCCTTGCTGTACTCACGTACGTCATGTAAACGTTGTCATTGATGAAGCAGATCAGGTAAACTATTTAATGATTCAAATGTCAAATGTGACGGATAAGAAGTAGAAGACAGTTCAATATTTATGATAGAGAATATTAAAATTTAGAAGATTACAATCTTAAAAATGTAACATACGACTTGGACCCAAGCCTTAACTTATTGAGTACAATAGCCAATCTTCATATTTGTCTATGTTTCATCAACAAAATTATTATATTACCGTAGATTTTAATAAAAGAATATTTATGAATTAAAAATAACAGTTCATCTGAATAATACAAAGGTCAATAGAGTATAAGATATGAACATGTGGCATGTTTAGGATGATGAAGAGACACAGCAGATATCGTTTGGTCAAAAATTACCATCAATGCTACAACTCGAAGAACGACAACGATGTGATGGAAGGAAAGGTTCCATTTTCTAGAATTTTCTTTCTGACAAAATTTTGATGAAAATCACAAGAGTAAACTTCTTCCACATACTAGGTCGATCGACTAACTGATCGATCTATCATGCCATACTACATTAATTTCAAATTGTATATATTTGACTTCTAATTGAATGCTTTTTGCAGGTGCATTTGCATGCGTGAATTCGGCACGTATGACATTAATGGATTGTCGTCATCGTCTTTGCTTCGATTGTCTAACATCACGTATTAATGTTGCTGTTGCAGCTCGTAGATTTTATTTTATCTTTAATTCTAATCTATACCATATTGATTGATTAAAATTTGATGGTACTGTTACGATTACTTTGAAATAGAAATGAACAAAATAGCAAGGAAAACTATAATATTATGCGCATTTACAGAAGAACTACCATATTGTCCTATATTTCGATGTGCTAATCGATTGACTAAAAATGAAATTGCCAAAATATCTGAGCGTGCGCCACATATGCGTAAAATCTGCGCCAAATTAATTGAGGCAAGTCCAAATGATACACCCGAAGAACCACCGGTAAATTCCTTTTTTTTGCGCTTTGATATATTTAAAAAAACTTACTCATCCTTCATTATCCCTATTAAACAACGTAATTGAGTATTTTGAAGTTTAGCACTTAAATATTAATTCTATTTCAAATATTCATTTTGTCTGCAATTTCATAAAATAATTAAATAATCAATTGAAACGTCAAAATATTTTGATTTCACAGAAGTTATTTAAATCATTTAGGGTAAAGATGAATGTGTATTCTTCTGTTCCGTTTATCAATCGGAAAGTAGTAGGAAACCGATAATATTTCCATTAGCGTGTACAGTTTTTGATATGGTCAGTGCTATGATACAGGTTCAGCGATTAAGAAAAAATCGTACTGCAAATAATATCAGTGTTTATATACGGACAACAATTTCAGGTCTTATGCTTTCATTATAAACTTTATATTTGATTTTGAATTTTAATTTAAAGATCTGAATTCAAACTGACATGTGATATATAATTTAATGTACTGCACGATATACCATTAGTGATACATTTAACTATTATACGATCATATTTTACGATAATTTTAATATTTTTTATTTGCATCTCAGATGGCCTCTTTCAGGTAAGCCAAAATACGATCCGATAGATGTAAAAGCAATGACAAAGAAGAAAATTAGTGAAACGGATTTTCACGATCGTACCCATTTTGTGCTGGATGTTGACAATGAGCTTGAAGCAATGAATCTTGCAAGCAATAAACAAAAGTGAAAATTTACTTAAACTATGGGTTTCCATCAGTACCGGTCAATCATTTTATAATAATTTCGTTTTATCAATAATTTTATAGTAATTATTATCATTAATTATTACATAGCAGTAAGCAGAGGTATCGATGATCGGATTAAATATTTTCTTTGACTTAGAGACAGCATTAATTTTAAATGTCAAAATATATATGAAGCACTCTTCCTATTAAGAAACCAAATATTTGATTGCAATTATTTTGGCTGTCTTTTTGTTTGAATTATTTGATATTCAAATGTCTTTTTTTACTTAATACATAATTGAAATAATCGTATTGGCAAGAAGATTCCGATTCTTAGAAATTCTTTATAATTTGAAATTTCAAACACGATTTGATAAAAGCTTAGTCTGATAGTTTGAAGAAGATAATCAGGTTAAATTTAAATTTGAACTCAGATTAAGGTTCATTTTGCAAATGCAATTTTAACAATGAAAGTACATTTCACTTAATTAACATCTTCAGGATCCATAAGCCAAAATGAATTAGAGTTGCGCAATCGATAGATACAATTATAGCAATTATTAATGGACAAAATGACTATGAATGCGGTCCTATAATTATATAATCCGCGGTGAAACTCTCTTTACAAATTAAAATATTGGCCATAAAATAACGCCGAATTCAATTACAACTATTAAACATCAGTTAATTTAATTCACTTCATTTAAAAGGATAATTCACTTCACTTAATTCATTTCATTTTTTTTTTTAAAAAAATAATTGCGAATTTTTGAAATACGGTAATGCCTTCCGGAAAAAAGATTGTGCCAAAATTGAATATTAAATAATTCTGTTAATGATTTTTATTCACTTATTAGAAGCAAAAAAGTATTTTAATTTTAAACGGAAACTAAATGTAATACAACTGAAGTCAATAAGTCAATAAACTATTTGTGAGAGGAAAATGTCTTTTGACACATTTTAACCATCCAATAATACACTGACTGCAAGCCATTTTCAATGTACCATATAAGGTACCATTCAAAATTTTAATTCACTCTTGAAATCAATTCATTCTTCATGTAAAAAATTTGTTTCGATCTTTAAATTTTTTGATGTTTGATCGATGAATTTGTAAATGAAACGGCCCTCAATCAATATTTCTTTAATGAATTGAAAGCTTTTTAACTGATCAACGTAGAAAATGAAAAAACCTTAAAGGAATTGAAATGAAATTACCAAAATTAAGATTAATTAATCAATTTAAGAATAATTAATTAATGATATTACTATTACTACTTTGTTATTATGTTATTAACACTTTCCATACGAAATATATTTCTCCTACTTTCTAATGTGTATTCTTTACATTTTTTTTTAACGATAAACTAATTTATGAGTTAGAAAATTTTATTATAAGAAAAAATAATATAATTGTAATTTATATTTAATCAGTTGACCTTTAGCTTTTTGTTCTTTTAACTCTAAGATTTTGCACTCATCAAATTTACATAGCTTTTTTTTTTTTAATTTTAAAGATCAAAACCATAAAATAAGCTTTTGCTTAAACTAAGCATCATTTTCTACATCTATGTTTTGCTTTTATAGATTATCAGGAGCGATATATCACAATATGATATCCTGATAATAATATCCCGGTTATAGTTATTCTTTGAAATATCTACTTCAATTCCAATCTACTTCCTTGTCTACGTATCTTCTTCATCTCTTGGAAATTCTTGGGTAGCGTCGAATTACCCGAAGATAAATTATACGTGTTCACAAATTTTTTAATAAATAATAATCGAAAATGTGTTGCTATTTCTTTCACCGGAATGATTCTTATAAAAGAAAGCGATAAGCAATAAGTAATATATCAGCCATATACATTCTCTTAGTTTCGATGAATAAATAATTAATGTGCATGAAATTTAAACTTAGAATATAAAATTAAAAAAGCCATATAAGATAGTTATTATGAACAGTGACATTTGCATACCAAAAAATAATTGAAATTTTAAAGTTTGTTACTAAACTTGGATATGTTCAATAATAAATCATAACATTGAACTAATTAACATATTATTATTATTTTTTTGTTTTTGACGTTTCATTTAAAAAGAAAAAATACTTTTTCATAATATTATCTTATTTTGATAATTTCATTGTTTTATTAAATACATTTAAAAAAAAGATTCCATTTATGGTTGGAAGAAAATATGAGCTATTTTTAGGAATTAATAAAATAAGTTAATGTCTGTCAGAATTTAAGTTAATGTTCGCCAGAATTTTAAAATTCTATGGGCAATCAGTTTGATGTTTTGAATTTATTTCCTTTGTCTGATACAAAATTTTCAAACGACATGTTTTCTTCGGCTCTTTTCTCCCATGTCTGTTCATAGCTCATATGGTTGTCATTTATGGATGATAATTTGACCCTGACAAAATAACAATGACGACAGAAATTGTCGCCGTTTTAACCATCGTCCCATACTTCCATTCCCTCTTGTACTAATAATTGATTTTTTGAAATAGAGAGGGAATTGTAGGGTTTACAGTAATTGTGGAATTGGAGGAAGTTTAGAAGAGGATTGTGAAAAGATCAGTCAAGGTAAAAGGGTAATATTGCTCGCTTCGATTTCCGGTACGTTGCACTAGATGGATAGAAAGATATTGTTCCATCATTTTTTTTCCAACATTACTTCTAAGATTTTCATAAATTTCAAAATTTAAAAAATGTCTTTTTTCCACTCAATTAAATTTTTCAACATTTAAATCTTACTCGTTTTTTACTTTAAAAGTTCAAGAATGACCTTGAATTGTGTCCTGAACAGAAATATTTATATAGAAGAAATACAATAATTAATTAGTAAAATTAATTATTTAAAGAATGTTGTAAGTATAAATTATATACTTATAACATAATTATACTATATATTATAATTATAATGCTGTGGATACTTCTTACAATGCAAAACGACATTGCTATCACTGGCAACTTTTCCTCATGCAACTTTTTGACTTTCAATTTGAATTCAAAATATATAAGTAAATGATACATCAAGTAGAAACTTTCATGCCCTTTTGAAGATTATT